AGAAGCGAGCTTCCCCAGCGCCCCAAGTACCTTAAGAGAGGTCAGGCTGGACAGCGTGGTTCCGTGTCATCCTATGCTAGTGATCCAGACCCCGACAGCGATCATACGATTGGTTTGGAAACAGACTACGCGCTGCATTCCGGAGGTGCGTCTTCCTCGACAGAAAGACCGCGAGATACGAACGGCCTCACGCGGACCACCAGTCTGGGCAGTTTCGCCAGTGGCTATGAAGACCCAGATCCCTCGGGACCCATTTCTGGACTCACTCCTCTCGACGAAGCTTACAATGCCATCTCTCCCGAACCGGCGGTCATGCGCCAGCTTCGGGATCAAGAAGATGACGGGGTGCGAACACCCAAACCCCGCAAAACGCCCCCTCCACTGGCCGCCCCATCTGACACGGTTCTCGCCCGGCATGTTAGAGATGTGCAGGTGCCTGAGTCTCTGGCGAAAGAGTACAGGGCGAAGACAGGTCTGACGACGCCATCAAAATCCCTCAACCTCGCCGATCTTAAGAGTCCCGACAAGCTGGGCGCTTCGGTGGTTCCGACTCGCGCTGGCGGAAGGAGCTTGACTCTAAAAGAGCAAAGTAGCACCATTGAGCGATTGAGCAAAGAGAACTTTGACTTGAAACTCAAGGTCATGTTTTTGAGTGATCGCCTGGACAAGCTCTCTGAAGAGGGTATTAAGGAAATGATTTCGGAGAACGTGGAGCTCAAAACTGGGCTAGCCGTGTTGCAAAGGGACAACAAGATGCTACGTAAAAGGGTCAAGGAGTTGGAGAAGCAAGTCAAGGATGAGGATGAGCGGCCAGGTACTGCCCGCAGCGATCAGTCAGATGAGGAGAATGCTGCCTTTAATCAAGAGGTACAAGAAGAGTTGATGTACCTCAGGGATCAATTGGAAGAGCACATGGTCGAGATCGAGAGGCTCCGGAATGAAAATCTTCACAAAGAGGCGGAAAAGAGGCGAATGACGGAAATGGTTCGCACCCTCAGCGAAAAGACGGGCGAAAGGTTCGGCGGAGACTTGGATCGGCAAGAAGAGGCCGACGTTTACAAGGATCTGCTCGAGCAAGAGACGGCGAGGAGGGAGCAAAGTGACGAGGACAACCGAAAGCTGCGTGAAGAAATCTTTCGCCTCAAGCAGGAGCTGGCAATGCAGCCGAACGGCAACGGGCCATACCAACAACAACAGCAAGGTTCCAACATGTCATACCTCAGCCGAAGGTCCCGCGAGCAGGGGAGCGCTTCCAGTCGGCCTACCACTTCATTTTCAGCTGATCAGGACGTTGCCAGCTCGGCTACCACTCTGATTGAAGAACTCCGTCGGGAAAGCGAACAGTTGCGCCACGAAAATGCCGAACTTCGTCGTGAAGTAGGCGCACAGACCTCGATGTTGACTTCTCGAAACCGTGAGAAGGAACGTCTGTACCAAGAAATCGAGGATTTGAAAATGGCACAGCGTCGCGGTGGCCCTGCTCCGTCTACCATTGACAGTCTCTTGGAGAGGTCAGCATCCCGTGCCGGTGCCCATGAGAGGTCACACTCGAGAGCTAGTGGCAGAACGGGCATGACGGGACTAGACGACGCCGACCGCGAAGAGCTCGAGAACAAGATATCTCAGATGAGGGATAAGAACAACGAACTTCGTCTTCAAAACCAAGATCTGGAGCGCGAGCTGGCGGCCTGTATGGAGGACTTTGAGATGCTCTGCGAAGCGAAGAAGCAGGCCGAAGAGCTTTCCCATTCCCTGCAAGATGACCTGGAGGCAGCAATGCAGGACCTTGTCGCTCTGCAGGCCGAGCGTGACGAGGCACTTCAAGAACACGCGAACCTCGAACAAGAGTTCGAAGCTTTGCGCAAAGAAGCCCAAGAGGAGATCGATGCGCTGGAAGGTGAATCAGATCTCCGTAGTGCTGAGATTGAGCGCCTCCAACTTGATCTGAATGATCGTAACGAGAATTTCGAAGCGTTGCAGGAGGAGATGCGCAAGATGAGCGATGCCCTTGTTCGCCTGGAGGATGAGCAGGAAGCCAAGCACAAACGGATACAAACACTTGAACAAGAGCTGAATGATGCCAACAGAGAACTGGAGGAGCTCGAATTCAAGCTTCTTGAGGCAAACGACAAGGCCAACCGTCTGTCAGTCCAGCAAGAGTCAAGCCAAGGGGAGATTGCCTTCTTGCGGGAAGAACAGGAGAACGACAAGATCCGGATTGGTGATCTGGAAGCGGCACTGGCGAATTCCGAGCAAGGTGTGCGTGATGAAAAAGACCGAGTCAGAGAGCTGGAGAACCGGCTGGCCCAGGAGAGGAGGCAACGAGAGATTGTTGCAAACAGGGAGAAGGAGGAGGTACAGCAGTTCATCAACGAGCTCAACAAGGAAGCAACAGCAGCCAAGGATGAAGCCCGACGACTGCGCAAGAGCCTGACAAGCAGGGAGGTCGAGGCTACAGAGTGGAAGGAGAGGCTCTTGGAGCTGGAGAACAACCTTCGCGAGGCTCTAGGTGACCTGAATGGGACCAGGTCTAGCCTTCTCAAGGTGAGCAGTCATCTAACTGCGTTGCAACCTGGACTGCAAACTAACAAGCACGACAGTCTATTGCCAAGCTCCAAATGGACCTCGAAAAAGCTGTCCGCGACCTTGACACCACCAAGGCGTCACTGGCTGAAAAGGACCGCATCATCAAGCAGCGTGACGCTCTTCTTGAATCCCATGCTCTCGAGTCCCGCAAGGTTGGTGAGATGCTCGATAAGGAGCGTCAAGCTCATCGGAACACCAAAAACCAGTTTGAGACGTTCCAGAAGACGCACCAGCATGTTACGCGCACACTCTCTCAATCGGAGGCGCGCATTGCCGAGTTGGAAGCTGGCAAAGCCCAAGACAAGAAACGCATCGCTCAGCTCGAGGCCACCTACAAAGAGCAGCTTACCGAACGCAACACGCTGCTCCTCAACCTCTGGACCAGGCTATCCAGTCTCTGCGGCAGCGATTGGGCTCACGACAACAGTCTCATCAATGGCCGCGCTCTGCCTAGCCTGGAGTCGGTCGCCACCATGTTCCCTGGCTTCAGCAAGAACCTCTTGGCTGCGGTCAAGACTCTGGAAACCATGGTCAGTAGCTTCCAGACCAAGGTGAAATCGGTAGAACGTGACCTGTGGAGAGAATATCAGGCACTGGAAAGCCACCTGGAGATGCGAGCCAAGAAGATGGATCGTCTGGAGCACATTGTGCGCAACAGCATCGCAGCCGGCACCACAGGCAACGGCGTCTTAACCGCTGCTGAAGCGCAGGGCAGGCTGGCCCGGCTGGAAGAAGCCTACAGGCAGCTCAAGGTGGAAAATCACACTCTTCGAACAGCAGCCGAAGTTCGTGCTAGAGCCGCGTATGCTGCTGCCCATCCTTCTCGGGGAGGAGGAGACCGTCACCAACAAAGCCCCAGTCCCCTGCCGTCTGCAGGGCCAAGGGATAGGGAAGGAATACCCAGTGACAGGATGTCTATTTACAGCCAAGTCGACGCCAGAAAAGGCGGCAGTAGCAGGCCGAGTTCTATCGCCATACCCCAGCGATCAGCGAGTAGTAGTCGCAGGTCCATGATCAATGACATGGACGGCCACAATGACGATGTTTTACTACCGGGATCGTCCCAACCGCCCCTGTCTCGAGTACAGAGTACCCAGTCGCAGCAGAGTCACCAGCACCAGTACCAGCACCCCCAAGTGCAATCCCAAGCCTCCTACACTGGCCCCGGTGGTGGAGGTGGGGGGATTCAAACGTCAAGCGAAAGGGGAGTCGCCCCTCCTTCCGGTCCGGGGTCAACAAGTAGTACCAACAACCCTGCTACGCCTGGTATGTTCTCCCAAAGCGGAGGTGCAGGTGGAGGAGGGGGGTCATCGACGAGCGCCGACAACAAGTGGATGCTCCGCCTAAGAGACCTGGAGTACAAGCTGAAGGCGGAGAGGGAAGGGAGAATCTTGGACCGTAACGAGGCGCTCAAGAGGATCAGTACGAGCGAGTCGGAGAATCTGGCGCTGAGAGAGAATCTGGAGAGGGAGAAGAGGAGGAAGCGTGAGAGTGTCCAGAGTTTAAGCGGCGGCGGGGCTGGGGGAATGGGCAACGGAATGGGCAACGGCGAAAGGGGATCCTAGATGGTATGGACCGTAGCCGGGGCTTCCTTTGGGGCGGGAGCCAGATAATGATATTCCACAGCAGCCGAGTCAAGAGTTCCCTTTAATAGGATATGGAAGCATATTAGATGTTGCTGGTTACGCCGGCTCTGGACCTGTTGTGTTTGTTCATCAGTTTGCGGACAGGGAAGTAGATTGGTTGGTGTTGAAGACGTACAAGTAGAGTTGTGAAGGAGAGAGAGGTTGTAGGTCCGTTGTTAGTTTTTTTTCTTTCTTTCGGTCATCACCTATTATTGTTCACTATTTTGTGGTTTGGCCATGGGTCGATTGGTCAGGTCTAGACAATTGGTATGGAGACGGGCATTGTTACTACTACCACTATTACTACCCCTTTTCCTTGGTGAATGGTGTTGTTGTTTTTATGGATTGACTGCCAGCTTATAACAGTCCCCGGGCCCGTATTTTTTGATTCCTTGCTTGGTTAGCAGCATATGAATATTTTGTGATGGCATCCTATGTGACTTTGATGGTCAAACATCGATACCTCCGTTCTGTTAGTAAATATAATACGGCAGTCATCATGAAGAAGTCAGAAACATTCATCCCTGTATCTCTGAAATACCTATGTAATGGTGCGTACTGTAACTGTTGAGTGATACAAAGAAATGGACATGGCCATAGAGGTACTCACTGATTTGCACGGTACTTACGCTAAGATACCGGACCTGCATGAATGCCGCTGTGACGTCGGGTCAGCTTCTACCGACGATAAGCCTTATCAATGAGCGGTATACAAGGGCAGAAATAATTGTCGCAGCTGGTTGCATGGGAAAAGTAAACGAGATTCTTACGGGGCAATTCAACTATCCAGTGTAACATAACATCAACATCGAAATACCTACATACCACCCACCAGCAGACAGACAGGAGCACGGCAGCCATCTCGACGTCTCATCCTCCCCCTCTCTCTCCTTACTTCTTCTCGTTCTTATATCATCGGCAAACCCGTTCCGTTCCGGACAACCCTGACCCCCCGCCGTCCTCTCCCGTCCACGACCGATGCTCTCCAGGGTGCGTAACAATGCTGTGCGCCGCAACTTCGGCCTGGGCCAAGCGCCATGTATATCGTCCATAATCACAACCGCCACATGCCCGAGTGCTGCTGGCCTATCGGCCAATTCCCGCGTACAACAATGGCACGCGCAAAGGACATACCGGTCCACACAAGCTCTCAAAGCTCAGAAGCCTTCTGCCGGCCAGATGATGCGGGAAGCCATGGGAATCCTCCAGTCAGTCGGAGCTGCAGACCAAACATCAGAAGCAAAACCCAAGAGGACGAGGACGCGCAAAGCAAAGACGGCTGAGGAGGACGTTGTAAATCAAGACGAAACCGCAGAACCGAAACCAACGCGGCGCAAGAAGGCTGCTGACAGTGCCGAGGATGGAGAAGAAGCAAAAGTTGAAAACAAAGAGCCCAAGAAAAGGAGGGCAGGGCGGCCACGTATACACATTCCCGAACCCGATAGTGCCGAGGCCTTGAAGCTGGCAGCGAAGCAGGCAAAACGAGAAGCTGCAGCAGCAGCGAAGAAGAGGCCCTCACTAAAACCCGCCAAAATAACGAGGAGCGATGAGCAAAGCATGCTGCGACCTTGTGTTGACCCCATGCAAGAGCGACTATACGACACCGAGCTTTGGAGCTGGCTCGATTATGGGCGCACGTCCAAGAAGGGACTGGCACCCGCACCCATTAGGAAATACGATCGAACCCGAGTCCACGTCACTAGCGAGAAGATGGTTGACGATGTCCTCGATTTCATGAAGCCCACCTTGACGCGCCACCAGGGCTGCGACATCATCGATCTAAACCCCGGAGCTGGCGTCTGGAGCACCAAGCTGAACGACCTGCTCAAGCCTCGCACCCACCTGCTGCTCGAACCAGACGCGGGCTTCTACGAACCCATGCTTGAACCGTTGCTTGCCCGAGACGGTAGCAAACTAATAGCCAAGGACGGCCTCGTCTGGGCGGAGCTATTGTCGGTACTCACACCCGAGTACCTACCGCACCAGAAAGAGCACCAATACTCGGCCGACGACGTACCCGAACGGAACGACACCCTCCTAGTCACCGCCAACCTTGGCTCCTACCCCAAGAGAAGATACTCCAGCTTCGCGAGCGCCACGGCCATGATCCTATACCAGTTCAACCACGCCATCCGCAGCGGTGCCCTCTTCCAGAAATACGGTCTGGTACGCATGCTGCTCTGGCTCGACGACGAGGACAAGGCCGCCATTCTCCCGCGCATGGCTCAGCGTCGCCGCCGCGTGGCCGTCGACGCCGAACTCAACTGTGAATCCATCACGCACGTGGCGGGCCCCGATTACTCCGACATCGATCCATCGAAGCGTCTCTGGTTTAGTCGTGACATCAACATCGACCGCAGCAGCGCCTTGGCCGCCTTGCAGCGCATGCGCGAAGCCGGGATCCAGACCCCCGCTGGGCGCGAGACCAAGATCCTCCGTGAGGTCTCGCAAAATCCCGACAGTGTAGTCGCCGCCGGCGAGACGCCCATCACGTACGACTTCCGTCACCAGGCCGAATATGAAGAGCTCTTGAAAGACTTTGAAAAGGGCAAGATTGTCCTCGCCTCGGAAGAATACAAGGCCATGATCCGCATGCGCATCCAAATCGACTCGGCCAACAAGCGCTTCAGCAATGTCCACAGCAACATGGTGAATTTCCACCGGCTCGTGGACGAATGGCGGGTTGCCAAGGCGGCCAATGACGACAAGGAAATCGCATCCATCATGGAACGGTACAAGGAATGGGAAAAGTCCTTCATCGCCCTGGGCTCGACCGCCTGCGGCGACTGGTTCGTCCAGCGCGACAACCTGCACCTGTGGAAGCAGAAGAGCATGCACTGGGACCGCAGGGCCATCGAGCCGCTCGTGATTCAGAGTGACGAGTTTTTCCCGCATGTGCCGCTTTCCTTGCTCGATATCCAGCCCAAGGCCGCGCACAAGGTGTTGCGGTCCATGGGCCCTAACTCGGATCGGAGTGGTGACATGGCGGAAGTGCTGATGCGCAGCATCATGGCGTATACCAACTCGTCCATGAGCAAGGTGCTGGATCGATTGGCGCCCGGAGCGAGCGAGTTTGTGTATCCCATGTGTAAGAGCCTGGTGGATCCGGATCAGGGCGGTGTGCCCTTTCCCGGAGCCGCCGAGATCACGGTGCGGGGGATGAGCGCGTGGCAGTTTGAGGATGTGTTGGAGCAGTGGATGAAGTGGCCCTTCAGACCACCGTTGCAGGATTTGATCAGTCAGTTGTCGGATGAGTATGTGGAAGCCGAAGGGGAGGAAGGGAAGTTTGGGGGCGTTAGTCCGGAATTTTAGAGATATCGGGGCTGTCTGGGGGGGGGGGACCTACTATCAGATACGCTTGGGAGAAGTGAGATTTGGGACGTGATATGAGCTTGTGCAGTGAGAAGGAACAGCAGGAGAAGAATAGCGGCTGCTTCCATGCTGGCTTTGTTAGAGCTAGAGGACAAAACATATATATAGGTAGACACTAAGGCGGCAAGCGATTATATAAAGATCATGTTGCTGTACGATATAAGGATGAGAAAATGATTTTTGATGTAAATGACGATACCAAACTTGGGTGAAAATTTCATCTCTCATATTGCTGATGTCTATCCTTCCAGTTGTACAACTGACTTTAAGGCTCAGCGTATCTCCAAGTACACAAGTATGCTGCTTTACCATCAATGAATGTCGCCGCAGTTTTTAGAATCGAATGGGGTTCAAAGTTTGGCATAAGTACGACTATCAATGTCAATTTCAGTCATATTTCCCTGTTGCAAGTCGAGCCAGTAAGGCAGGCATGCTGCTATCGAAAAATAGCTATTAACTCGTCTGGGCATACACACACACACACACACACACACACACACACACACACCTCGCAAGATATTATACAAGAACACCCATCCAGGACTCTGATTTGCTCCCCGCTATCCCAAAAGCCTATTTACCTCGTCACTTCCTTTCATGTCCCATTCCCCACTAACGACGGGCCGCTGGGTCCAGCAACTCAAACAAAAGCCCCTCGAATAACAACGTCCAGTACTGCTGCAAAAAAGAAGACCGTCCATGTGGGCATCTCCGTGGGCATCTCCGTGTTGCTCCCGCGGTCATCCTCATCATCATTCTCACTCTCGGGAAGAACGAGATCGACGAATGTGATGGCTGTTGTGGTGACGTAGAGGCTGGGGACTTCAGTCTCACATCCTTCTTTGCTGTTGATGCTGCTGCCGCTGCTCTTGTGTTTTGTTGAGGCGGCTGGATAGGAGACCCCGATACCGGTGACTACGTTTGTGTTGGTAGGATCCTAATGTGTGTGAGACTGAAGTCAGCTTTAAATAGGCATGGAATGAATGGAAATATGTTAAGTTGGGAGAAAGAGCTTGAGAAATGGAAGTATCTGCTTACTACTTGAGGTATCAGGGTTTGGACAGCTATATTGGGCTGGACTTCCTCTGTGAGTGTGGTTCCCATAAGCCCCCCAAAGAGCAAAGCTGTAGTGGAATGTTGGACAAATCTGGGGAAGCGCATTGCAGCCAAACCGTGGTGCTCACGGTAGGGTTCGATGGAGTGTGAGAGGGTGGTTGTTTGGAGGAAAAGGAAGACTAAGACAAAAACCCAGAAGAACAGCTAAAATAACCCGCTGGTACTCAGGATACTATTGCAGCTTCCTACATTTTAGCAGGTGAGTGCAAGGGATCAAGTTGAGTAGGAACGAGGGAGGGGTAAGCCTGTCATATATTGACCGAAAAGTATTTTAGGGGTGATGGGGAAAGGGCAGTGTCCAATGCGGCCAGTCGGTTTGCCTTTTAGGAGAGAAGGCAAACCGGGAAGTTGGGAAGCCGGTCAAAAATCTTGGAAGAGGACGGAAGTTTACGGCCTCACCTTGGGGCAGGACTACGAGACTGCCAGACAGTCAACTCGCGAGCAATGCGCAACCCAGGCGTGCCAGGTTTTTGCAGACTCTCTCATCCAGCAACATATCTGCTACAATCAGAGCTGGGATATTTCCGGGCAAAACTCATGATCTGTAGCATCGAGTCCGCTTAGAGTTGGCAAATAAGTGGCGGACTTGGTGGAAGCATGGTTCTGGCCCCAGCCAGTGACAGTGCCGGACTTGACAGCAGCGAGTTCGGTTGAACATCGTAGATCGTATGTCTACATCCCAGACAACTGCTGTTGCGTCTGCCAGGAATAAAGGATACCGGACATGGGATGAAGTGGACGCTGGGCATCCAACAATATCGGCTTGTCGTGGGGTTCTCGGACATGATATGTTGATGCATTGTGTAGGTAGATGTATTATGGAAATTCCCCAGCATGACCGGACCTGAATTATGCAGCGGTCGGGCCTTCCCCGATTAGCAATACCAAGATGAACGCAGGGCAGGTACGGAAGATGCGCAGACTCCGCCCCGAGGCCAGCTACCCCGAGTCCTGGTGTAGTTTTCTCCAGCTAACAATGTCCCAACTCCGTCGATTGAATTTCAAGTAAGCCGCGATGAACCGACTTGCATCTTCAGACCTTGCCAGCCTCAAGAGAACATCGCTTCACTATCTACGCACCACCGTCCGATGTGACACCATGGTCCTTCATACCCGATCCGAAGTCCTTCCGCAGAGACGAAGGAGTGCAAAGACTCCAGAACGGGCAAAGCAAAGCAACCGCCGGATTAGAACAGAAGCTTGAACTCCATCCGCAACTGGTATGTCTCGACCTTTACTACCCGCCGTCCGCCTTGAGTGCTTGAGTTACGTTGCACCACAACTCATATCCCATCAGATCCACATGCTTCACTAGACGTCCGAAGCAAGTCACCACACTTTTGGGAATGGCTTCTTCTGGAGTACGTCTGAGCGCCATCTCCAACAACAAACTGGCGGTTAAACACCGCCCGGCTAGCTCAATCGGTAGAGCGTGAGACTCTTAATCTCAAGGTTGTGGGTTCGACCCCCACGTCGGGCTCAATTCCCGATGTTCAACAACATCTACATTTTTGGCTTCCTTTTTTGATCTTTACGGTAATCCATGCATGCACTCCTTTGGCTCTAATAGCTTTCGTGGTTTCTTTTTCGTTTCGTCCTTTCCCTTTTGTTGCCTTTTGCGTCTTTGTCGAGTGTTGATAATCATTATTCGTCGGTTTGTGTGAACAAATTCGTGATTTCGGGGACATACCGGTGGAAGGTTGTGGTCGTGTGCATCAAAGTGAAGGTGTAGATTCCTACACAGAATTTCCGAGTCGATAACTCCCATATCAGATGCGACGGCCCCTCGGCTCCTGGGAAATCCTAAATAATACATAAGAACAACCATCACCTGAGTGAGCAGCCTGCGTTTGTAAACGAGTTGTCTGTCAAGGAGTACTCAAGACCCGGATAAAAAAAAAAAAAAAAAAAAAAAAAAAAAAAAAAAAAAAAAAAAAAAAAAGCATCGCAGAGATATGGCTGATCGTGGAATCCACGGGCAAAAATGAAAATAACTCGATCCACCCAGGGGTCGAACCTGGAACCTCCTGATTCGTAGTCAGACGCTCTGCCATTGAGCCAGCGGACCTTGTTGACAGCAGGGTTCAGATCTTGGCATTATGTCCTATTGTTCTCACCATCCAACAACACTGCTTCTGATGTCTTCTACAGCATTCTCACCTTCTCGTCAACAAGACTTGTTGGCCCGGAATGCGAGGCGAGCTTGAATTGATACCTTCTTCCAATTCATATCTTAAACGTTATGGATTACAGTATCCTTAAATCTTCCGTTCGATGCTTGCCGTTTCAGCCTTCTTGTTAGAAAGAGACCAAAAGTTCGGAGCGGAAGTGGAATATTCTTTACTCCAACCATCACTATAGATCATACACTTACTTCAACGCCTCCGCCGGCATTGAGAGGCTTACCTCGGCGAGCTTCAAAGTGGCGATAACTTGATTTCGCGTACAAGAATGGCTGTTTGGCTAACCTTGAAATTTCCCTGAATTTTGGAAGGTGGCTGTACCACGCTAACAATTCAGATGCCGGCAGAGGTGTATGCAGCGTGCCCGCCTGCATCTACTACCACGTTACAAAGCGAGCAGAACTCGTTCACTGATCGGTGTGAACGACTAGGTTCATCAAGTGTAAGATGAAGCAAGAAAAAAAAAGAGAAAAAAAAAAGAACCAAGCAGTGAAGGAAACACAAGGATTAAAAAAAAGATAGAAAGCGAGCAAAAAAAGAACTTTGAAAAATGAATGGAACGACGGGAATTGAGCCCGACGTGGGGGTCGAACCCACAACCTTGAGATTACGGAGGAACTCCTTAAGAGTCTCACGCTCTACCGATTGAGCTAGCCGGGCAAGCGGCTATCAATCATTCCTTGATGCCAGTCAACGGCAAAGGTTTGATCTATAAGGTATGTATAGACTATTTGGGTGCCAAGATAGAATGTACAATATGACAGTGACAACATCGCCCTTTCTTCTAGACTAGAAGTTAAATCACGCCATCCATCTACGATAAAAATTTCGCTTGTAATCTTGATACACTTCTTCTATTTCACTTTCTCGGCAAATACTGCATGAGGCAATCCAGGTTGCGTTAAATGTCGAATTTGGCCAGTTACAGAACAGGTCTGCCGCTGCATGATGCCTCCTTCCACTTGTGTTGGTGGGTCCCTGGCATTCACTGGGCACAGCGGCATTCACTAGGTATAACCTAGTCCCTACTCTATACCCTACCCAGACCGCACCATATCTAGCCTTCCAGACTCTACCAGTCTCCCTCTCTCTCCATAGCACACACTCAATCAATCGCATTCAACCGCTTAATCTCGTTAGTAATCTCACAGGTTATAAACCCTCTCCAACCTTCCCTATAATCGCATTTTTAATAAAGGTATTATTAAGCGTATCGCCAGCCTCAACTTCAATAAAGCACCGTAATACCGGGTTAAAAAAAGCAACCGCAATCTTCGTCTTTAATAACTCGCCCACTCGCCTATAAGCCAGCCTCGCCATATAAAAATTCTCACTAATACTTATTATTTAACAACCCCTCTATCGAATTAATTATTAATTTATCTTTTAAATTAATTATTAATTTAATTAAATTTATTATTAAATTAAACAATTTATTTAAATTAATTTAATTAATTAACAGTTAGTTTAGCGACTATTAATTTTCTTTTTCTTAATATATTAAACCCTTTTATACTTATAATAATTACTAGTTCATTACTAATTCCCCTCCTTAGTAATTAGAATATCGCTAATTAGTATTAAGGCTTTATGGCCGAGCTTGACTATTTCTAATTCGCTAAGTATATCTTTAAAATAATTTTAGAGCTT